GTTTCACTCTTGTTACCCAGGCTGGAGTGCAATGGCGTGATCTCGGCTCACCGCAACCTCCACCTCCTGGGTTCAAACCATTCTCCTGCCTCAGCCTCCTGAGTAGCTGGGGCTACAGGCGTAAGCCACCATGCCCAGCTAATTTTTGTATTTTTAGTAGAGACAAAGTTTCACTATGTTCACCAGGATGGTCTCGATCTCCTGACCTCGTGATCCACCCGCCTCGGCCTCCCAAAGTGCTGGGATTATAGGCGTGAGCCACCGCGCCCGGCCAGCAACTCAGCTTTCTTGTGATCAGCCCTTACTGAAAGAAGGATATAAAAGTGGCCAAAAGCAGCCCTTTGAAGGGGAACCAACCACAGTCTCTGAATATTTCTTCAATGATATCTTCATTGAAAGGGATAAAACAGAATAAAACAATCTTTTGTCTCCTTTTAAAATTAAGTCTAGGATTTCCATAGTCAATTACATCAACAAAACAGTATTTAGAGCAAAACATCACTGTCTATTTTCCTTTAGGTTGATTTTGAATATTTAATGAGCTTGATTTGAAGCTTTTATAATCAGTGGAAAACATTTCTGAGGTTCCTGTCATCCTGATTGATTCAGCATTTTGCAAATAGCAAGCAAGCAATTAAGTCTGCTTTCTCAGACAGAAATAACAACTCTTGTTTACATTTTGACTCTTCCTGTGCTAAGCACACATGGACATTTGGAATGTTGTGGATATATGTCTCTGTATGAATTGCAGTGCAGACAGATTTGGGGGTGATTGTATCATATTTAACATTTAGCAACTTCTTTTGTGAAGTTCTTTTTATTTTTAGGAGGAGATGATGAGGATGAAAGCCTTTTCAGTTGCTTCTCAGTACAGAATAATGTTATTTAAGTCAGTGATGGACCACATATATCACAGTGGTCCCATACAATTAAAATGGAGATAAAGTATTCCTTTCGCCTAGTGACATTATGACCATGATAACAGTGCATTGCTTTTTAAGTTTAGGTATGTTTAGCCACACAGATGCTTACTACTGCGTTACAGCTGCCTACAGTATTCTGCATAGTATCCCACGGTAGAGGTTTGCAGCTGAGGAGCCTAGGCTGCACCACATAGCCTTGGTCTAGGGTGTGTAGCAGGCTGTACATCTCAGTGTTTGTTTGTAAAGCACACTCTGCGTTGGTCCACACAAGATCACCTAACAAGGCACCTCTTAGAACATATAGTTAAGGGACGCTGACTGTATGTGAAAACAAATCCACTTTCGAATGGTACACATTAAAAAACTTTTCTATTATCAACTGTTTGTCTGACTGAAAAATATGTATTTTTTCTAATTCATGGTGATATTAGTCTTAATTGAAAAACTAGTATTTAAACATAATTAGTTATAAAGATGACACATCAAAGAGCTTATTTATTTTTAAATTTTTTATTTAAAAGGATATTCGGTTTTAGCTATTTTCACCCCTCAGATTGTAGATAAAGAAGACATTCACAAGGTTATGTTTGTCTCCTTTTTCTCTTTAATTTTAAAGATATTTAAAGATATAACTAAAAATGTTTGGATAATGTATATGTTTTGAATACCTTTTTTCCCTCAATTTAGTATGTTAACTTTGTACTGTGAATTTTTCTGTTTTTCTTATTCCTTGGATCATCTCAAGATTTTCATGAGGGTAAGGGAAACTCAAGTTTATTTATGAGACAAATTTCTCTACAAAACTCAATCTCCTTTATACATACACAGACATAGATTAGTTTTTAAAAAGCCAATTTCTCCATAGTTTTCCATTAGATTCTCAAGAAACACTTAGAGCTTTAAGCACAGAACATAATTGTGATGATAAAAAACAGAAAATAAGGCTTTATAAAGCTAGTGATTATCATCAATATGAATTTAAGGTTTAATTTCAAGATTTGATGATTTACATGTATAATTCTAGTATCTACCCAAGTAGATCTATCGTGGTTCCAATTAGACTTCTCAAACAGCAAATTTATTCTGATTTTGTTTGAAAAGCCTCTTTGATTGGTAGTATATTTGCTCAAGGGTTGGAAACTTTATGCAAACTGTTTTGGGTTTGCAGGCCAGGTGGTCTCCGCAGCAGCTACTCAGCTCTGCAATTTCAGTGTGAAAGAAGCCGTGGACAGTATTTGAATGAAGGACTGTGGCTGGATTGGCCTTTTAGTTTGACCCCTACATTAGGCCCTAAGTTTTCTGACCTTAAGGTGCTCATATCTGTATGTCTGAGTTATTTGTCACTGAAGTTACGAATTGTGCTAAAAGTTAAAACTGTGTTGATTATATTATGTAATGATCAGTATTTCAATTGGGAAGATATTTTAGAGTCTAGATAATTATGTTTGTATTTCGCAGAAATGGCGGCCAGTGTCTAAGCTCCTTGATAGAAGAGAATCGTGTCTCAGCAGGTGTGACAGTAATGCTAATTTACTGGAACTGCTGCTGTTAGAGCTCTTCTTATTGGTTGTGTTTTAGTGAAATATATGTCTTATCATTTAGTCAGATAGGAGGCTATGTAGTTCTAAGTGGAGATTGTCTATAAGTAGGCAGTTACTTCATGATTAATATGTCACAGAAATCATGGTAGTAAATCACATTGCTATTTTAATACCCTGCTTTTGTAAGTTTTTTAAACTCATTTTCTGAAAAGATTTCATTCTATTAATGTTAGTTTGGGAGTTAGATTGCCATGATTAAACTATTATGTATCCTTGTGTAACATTAATTTTTAATGTTAACATCTGTCTCTTTTAATCTATAATAAGCCAGTTTTATGGAAGATAGAATTTTTTACTATATAAAGAATACAGGGACTCATTGTATTAGAGAATCAAGTCAGCCTGCTAAATTATCCTGCTGTTATATCGTTAAACCTAATTTTGGAAAAGAGAAAGTTAACTAGTGTATTTACCTTATATGGTGGAAAGAACTATGTTATGTCTGATTCAAAGATGTTACAAATTATTTATTTCATAAATTTTAAAGGAGATACAATTAAAGCTTATCCACCATGATAAGTTTTAAAGGAGATACAATTAAAGGTTTTTATCTTTTTCTGACTTTTTCTCCTGAACGCTTATGTCGCAGCAAGTGACCAACATGAGGGTCAGAATGCCTAATTGTTGGTAAATTGTCGAGGCACAACAAAAATATTAATATCCACTGTTTGCCATCATGTTATTTAAACAAAAGCTGCCATGTATACCATCTTGCTTAAAGAAGTCTTCCACAAAAAAAGCAATATCATGCCATTCATAAATGTTCTTGTTCTAAAGAAAGCAGTTATGTTATATATATACATGATGCAAATAAAAGTTATTTTATAGAAAAAAGAATAAATCAATCAAGAAAACATAATAATCTTAAATGAGCATACAACTAACAAACAGAGCTCCAAAATGCATAAAGGAAAAACTATTAGAACTAAAAGTTTTAAAGTCCCCAGACAACACATTTTTAAATCCCCAAGTACCTGAAAGTTAAAAGTGCACTTCTTTTTTTTTTTTTTTAATTGTACTTTAGGCTCTGAGATACATGTGAAGAACATGCAAGGTTGTTACATAGGTACATACATGGCAAGGTGGTTTGCTGCCTTCCTCCCCTAGCACCTGTATCTGGTATTTCTCCCCATGTTATCCCTCCCCACCCTAGGAGCTAAAGAACAGATTGACAGAAATCTTTGAAAAAATATTTTTTAAACTGAATAAAATTGTGATATAACATATAAAAATCCTTGCTAAAATGGTGCTTACAAGAAAACTTGAGCATTAAATATTTAAATAGAAAATTAAAAGGTCTAAGCTCAATCATATAGTTTACACTTTAAGAAACTAGAAAAAATAAAGGACATTTCAATGAGGGCTCATGGGCTGTGAATTCAAGAGCTATTAACACTATGACCAAAATTCTCTATAGGATCCATAGCACTGAATAGTGCTATATTTCCCTGAGGAAGTATAAGACTTAGCCATTTATAATTATGACATACTAATCCATAATTGTTGATGTGGGAAAATAAATACATTTCCCAAAGTTTAAGCAGATTTTCCCTTTTTTAAAGGAAAAAAAATAAACCTACAATAAGCAGAAGAGTTAAATAATAAAGAACCAAAATCAATAAAATTTGCAACAGAAAAACAATGGAAAAAAATCAATGAAGTCAAAAGGTGTTTTTTTTAAAAAGATCAAGAAGATGCAGTGACCTAGCCAAAAAGACAGTTATATTGCAAAAAAATCTCTACACAAACATACCCAATAAAAATCAAAACAAGGCTCGTCCGAGTGCAGTGGTGTTTACAACTAGTTGATCACAACTAGTTACAGATTTCTTCGTTCCTTCTCCACTCCCACTGCTTCACTTGACCAGCCTTAAAAAAAATAAAATAAATAAATTGTAAAAAATCAAAACAAGCCAGACAGAGAAAACTGAAATAAATAACTAACTTTTCAGTGCAAAGACACAGATGTGCATACTCAGGAAACAATAGCAAACAAGAAACCATGACCTCCCCAAACGGACAAATAAAGCTGCCAGTGAAGGACCCTAACTAGACAGCAGTAGATGAGCACTCTGATCAAGAATTCAATAGCAGTTTTAAGAAAACTCAGTGATCTTTAAAATAATACAGAAGAGAAACTCAGAAATGTATTAGATAAATATAACAGATTGAAATTTTTTTGTACTTTTTTTTTATTATAATTTAAGTCCTGGGATACATGTGCAGAACGTGCAGGTTTGTTACATAGGTATACATGTGCCATAGTGGTTTGATGCACCCATCAACCCATCACCTACGTTAGGTATTTCTCTCAATGGTACCCCTCCCCTAAACCCCCAACCACCAACAGGCCCCATTGTGTGATATACCTCTCCTTGTGTCCATGTGTTCTCATTGTTCAACTCCCACTTACGAGTGAGAACATGCAGTGTTTGCTTTTCTGTTCCTGCATTAGTTTGCTGAGAATTATGGTTTCCAGGTTTATCCATATCCCTGCAAAGGACATGAATTCATCCTTTTTATTGCTGTATAGTATTCCATGATGTATATGTGCCACATTTTCTCTATCCAGTCTATTGATGGGCATTGGGTTGGTTCCAAGTCTTTGCTATTGTGAATAGTGCTGTAATAAGCAGACGTGTGCATGTGTCTCTATTGTAGAATTATTTATAATATTTGGGTATATACCCAGTAATGGGATTTTAAAAACTAGAGAAGCAAGAGCAAAAAAATTCAAAAACCAGAACCAAATGGTATTTCTGATTCTAGATCCTTGAGGAATCACCACACTGTCTTCCACAATGGTTGAACTAATTTACATTCTCACCAACAGTGTAAAAGCATTCCTATTTCTCCACATCCTTTCCAGCATTAGTTGTTTCCTGAATTTTTAATGATCACTATTCTAACTGGCATGAGATGGTAACTCACTGTGGTTTTGATTTGCATTTACCTAACAACCAGTGATGATGAGCTTTTCTTTCTTATGTTTGTTGGTCACATAAATGGCTTCTTTTGAGAATTGTCTGTTCATATCCTTTGCCCACATTTTGATGGGGTTGTTTGTTTTTTTCTTGTAAATTTGTTTAAGTTCCTTGTAGATTCTGGATATTAGGCCTTTGTTAGATGGATAGATTGCCAAAGTTTTCTCCCATTCTGTAGGTTCCCTGTTCACTCTGATGATAGTTTCTTTTGCTATGCAGAAGCTCTTTAGTTTAATTAGATCCCATTAGTCAATTTTGGCTTTTGTTTTCATTGCTTTTGGCATTTTAGTCATGAAGTCTTTACCTATGCCTATGTTCTGAATGGTATTGCCTAGGTTTTGTTCTAGGGGTTTTATGGTTTTAGGGCTTACATTTAAGTCTTTAATCCGTCTTTAATTTTTGTATAAGGTGTAAGGAAAGGGTCTAGTTTCAGTTTTCTATATATGGCTAGACAGTTTTCCCAATACCATGCATTAAAAAGGGAATCCCTTCCCCATTTCTTTTTTGTTTGTTTTGTTTTTTGTCAAATGGCTAGCCAGTTTTTTTGACATCATTTATTAAATAGAGAATACTTTCCCCATTGCTTGTTTCTGTCAGGTTTGTCAAAGATCAGATGGTTGTAGACGTGTGGTGTTATTTCTGAGGCCTATGTTTTCTTCCATTGGTCTATATACCAGATTCATAAAACAAGTTCTTAGAGACCTACAAAGAGACTTAGACTCCAACACAATAATAGTGGGAGATTTTAACACCCCATTGTCAATATTAGACAGGTCATCAAGCCAGAAAATTAGCAAGGATATTCAGGACTTGAACTCAGCTCTGGGCCAAGCAGACATAATAGACATCTACAGAACTCTCCACCCCAAATCAACAGAATATACATTCTTCTCAGCACCACATCACACTTACTCTAAAATTGGCCACATAATTGGAAGTAAAACACTCCTGAGCAAATGCAAAAGAATGGAGATCATAACAAAGAGTCTCTCAGACCAGAGTACGATCAAATTAGAACTCAGGATAAAGAACTTACTCAAAACCACACAACTACATGGAAACTGAACAACCTGCTCCTGAATGACTAATGGGTAAATAATGAAATTAAGGTAGAAATAAATAAGTTCTTTGAAACAAACAGGAACAAAGACACAATGTACCAGAATATCTAGGACACCGCTAAAGCAGTGTTTACAGGGAAGTTTATAGCACTAAATGCCCACAGAAGAAAGCGGGAAAGATCTAAAATCAACACCCTAATATCACAACTAAAAGAACTAGAGAAGCAAGAGCAAACAAATTCAAAAACTAGCAGAAGACAAGAAATAACTAAGACCAGAGCAGAACTGAAGGAGAGAGAGACATGAAAAACGCTTTAAAAATCAATAAATACGGGAGCTGGTTTTTTGAAAAGATTAACAAAATAGATAGCCTGCTAGTCAGACTAATAAAGAGAAGAATCAAATAGATACAATAAAATCAATAAAGAGGATATCACCATTGATGCCATGGAAATACAAACTACCATCAAAGAATACTATAAACAACTCTACACAAATAAATTAGAACCTCTAGAAGAGATGGATAAATTCCTGGACACATACACCCTCCCAAGACTAAATCAGGAAGAAGTCAAATCCCTGAAGAGACAAATAACATGTTCTAAAATTGAGGTAGTAATTAATAGCCTACCAACCAAAAAAGCCCAAGACCACATGGATTCACAGCCAAATTCTACCAGAGGCACAAAGGGAAGCTGGTACCATTCCTTCTGAAATGATTCCAAACAACAGAAAAAGAGGGGCTCCTCCCTCACTCATTTATGAGACCAGAATCATCCTGATACCAAAACCTGGCAGACACAACCAAAAAAAAAAATTTCAGGCCAATATCCTAGATGAACATCGATGCAAAAATCTTCAATAAAATACTGGCAAACTAAATCCAGCAGCATATCAAAAAGCTTATCCACCATGATTAATTCAGCTTCATCCCTGAGAGGCAAGGCTGTTTCAACATATGCAAATCAGTAAACATAATCCATCACATAAACAGAACCAATGACAAAAATTACATAATTATCTCAAAAGATGAAGAAAAGGCCTTCAATAAAATTCAACACCGCTTCATGCTAAAACTCTCAATAAACTAGGTATTGATGGAATGTATCTCAAAATAATAAGAAGTATTTATGACAGACCCACAGCCACTATCATACTGAATGGGCAAAAGTTGGAAGCATTCCCTTTGCAAACTGACACAGACAGGGATGTCCTTCTCACCACTCCTATTCAACATAGTATTGGAATTTCCAGTCAGGTCAATCAGCCAAGGGAAAAAAATAAAGGGTATTCAAACAGGAATAGAGGAAGTCAAATTATCTCTGTTCGCAGGTGACATGATTGTATATTTAGAAAACTCTATCATCTCAGCCCAAGATCTCCTTAAGCTGATAAGCCACTTCAGCAAAGACTCAGAATACAAAATTGATGTGCAAAAATTACAAGCATTCCTATACACCGATAATAGACTAACAGAGAGCCAAATCATGAGTGAACTCCCATTCACAGTTGGTACAAAGAGAATAAAATACCTAGGAATACAACTTAAAAGGGAAGTGAAGGATCTTTTCAAGGAGAGCTACAAATCACTGCTCAAGGAAATAAGAGGGGACACAAACAGATGGAAAAACATTTCATGCTCATGGATAGTATGAATCAATATCATGTCTTTCACTATGCACAAAAATCAAATCAAAATAGATGAGAGACTTAAATCTAAGGCCAGGTGTAGTGGCTCATGCCTGTAATTCCAACACTTCAGGAGACCAAGGCAGGCAGATAGCTGGAGCTCAGGAGTTTGAGATCAGCCTGGGCAACAGGGCAAAACCAAGTCCCAACAAAAAATTACAAACATTAACCAGGCATGGTGGTGCATGCTTGTTGTCCCAGCTACTCAGAAGGCTAAGCAGAAGGATCGCTTGAGCCCAGGAAGTTGAGGCTACAGTGAGCCATGTTTGTACCACTGCACTCCAGTCTGGGTGACAAAGTGAGACTCTGTATCAAAAAGAAAAATAAAAAAAAAGGCTTACATATAAGACTCAAGACTATAAAGCCTTGAGAAGAAAACATTGAAGAAACATCTCAGAATATTGGTCTGAAAGAAGATAGTTTGAGTAAGACCTCAAAAGTCCAGGAAACAAAAGCAAAAATAGACAAATGTATCCCATCAAGCTAAAAATCTTCTTCACGGCTAAGAAAAGAGTCAACGAAGTGAAGAGACACCTCACCATATGGGAGAAAATATTTGCAAACTATCCAGTATATATAAAAAACTCAAACAACTCAATAGCCAAAAAAAAAAAAAAAAAAACATTTAAAATGGGCAAAAGATCTGAATATACATTTCTCAAAAGAAGACATATAAATGGTCAACAGGCATATAAAAAAAAGATGCCCAAAATCACTAATAATCAGAGAA